CTGTTGTGATGCCTTTCTGAGACTCATTATAAAAAGCGCTTTATAAACTCGTCATTACAACTGTTAGAATGATAGAGCACTGGACAGTGCTTTATAGTTATCATCTTATTTCATTCTCACAATGAGCTCATTGTCCTCATTTTACAGATGAGGAGGCCGAAGGTTAAGTGACTTGCTCATGGTTGCATAGCTAGTAAGTGGCAGAGCCAGGTTCGAAACCTGGTCTAACACTACAAAGCTGTGTCTAGACCTCTCCCAACTGTACAGGTGTGGCCAAGGGCGTTGCTCATGGCCTGCCCCAGGCTTTTTTTTTGTGGAGAACTGGGGAGAAAGCCCCAGCTGTATTAGTACCCAAGATGGGTTATACTTCTCCTAAACAGTTTATGTATATAAAGTTTACGGGCCTTGTGAATTCTATAACTAACCAACTATCCCTTCAAGTTGTTTTGTTCACCCAAACCAAGTATATAGTTCATTGTGAAATTCATATTTATCTTCATTCTTGGAGTTAGTTTATCACCATTTTTCTTTGCTTTCTTTCACTCCACTTTACATTTAAATTATTGCTTTGTCATCTGCCTTAACTCTTTTCTCTAACAATCTGAGGATATAAGTAAATGAATAAAGTCATGGAGGAAAATAAGCTCACAGACCCCCATCCAGAATGAGGGGAGACCATTGAGAATGATGGGGAAGCACTGTGCCCATTTCTGCAGCCTACTTTTAATGGAATGATTTCGTGACTCCAGATCCAAGTCTCCATGATGTTTGATGGCCAGTCAGCTGTTGAAGTGCACCCCAGAACAAGTATGGATGACTTAAAGGCCTTCACGTCCCTGAGCCTGTACATGAAACCTCCAGTGAAGCAGCCAGAAGTGACTGGGACTGCAGATCAGTTTATCCTGTACCTTGGAAGCAAGAACGTAAGAGCAGGAGGTTCTAAAGGAGAGGACAATATTAAAAATGAAAGCTGCTTTTTCTCTTGCCTAAAACAAAGCTATTCATGCAAACAAACAAAATTCCCATTCTGGTAACTCATAAGATATAAATAATTTTAGTGGCAGGATCAAAGTTGTGACTTAAGGACAAGTAATTCCTTCTCTACTTGGGGTATTTCTGCTATTGCTTCATATCAGCATCACACTACTAACTTTGATGAGTCCGAATGGAGCATTTCAAAGACCTTCAGAGTAACAGCAGCTTATTATGTTTTAGGTCAAGTCCTGGTGGAAGATGCTTAGAGATCCATACTGTAGACAGGCTACATTATATTCCTGGGTTAGCCAACAATGTTAGCTCATTCCTGGAAGCCATCAAATTTCCACAAGTCTGTAGTTGCTTTCCTCCCTATACAGGGTGCATTTAGGCAAGCATGGGGGCAGTAGACTGTGATGCAGCCACGGAGAGGCTGGAAGGGAAGAGCCACTGCCCAGTCTAACAAAAACTTTGGGTAATAAGTCAGACCAGAAGTT